GGGAGGGTGGCTGGGGTGTGTGAGGGGTCATGGGGATCTGCATGTATGGCATTGTGAAGGGGGTGTGGGTATATGCGTATGGTGGCGTATGCATGTGGGACTTGCCCTATGAACACAAACATGCCGGGGTACTGGCACGGCCCTGTGCTCCCCGTCTGGCTATGCAGCAGAGAAATGGTTGGGGATGGGATGGGGCTGGGCTCCTGCTCCTGCTGCTAGCTCCCCCTGGGTCCTACTGCCCCAGCTCCTGTTGTCTTTGACAGGTAGCCAGGAGCAGATAAATATTTTCTAAATTTTTTAGGGGGTCCTGAGGGCCAGATAGAATGGCCTGGTGGGCCAGATCCAGCCCATGGGCTGCATTTTTGCCCACCCCTGCCCTGACTGGATGAACCCATAGTGCCTAACATAAAATTTGGGGATTACATATTTCCTTGAATGTGGCAGTTTGTTAATTAGATTTTTTTTTAAATGGATTGTCGTAGTACACTGAAGTGCCTGCTCCTAGAGAGGAACGTGTGGGTTGCTGGGGCAACCATAAGGGTCAGGTGACCGGAAGGGGCAGGGCCTGGCCTAGATAAACAGCCTAGGCTGAGGCCAAGCAGGCAGTTCTCTTCTGGCAGCTGAGAGAGTAGGAGCTCTGTGGAAGCAGGTAGTTTCCCCCGGTTAACATCAAAGGGTGAAGGAGCACTGTTGCAGTGTATACAATCCGAGGGCCTGACTTAGCTCCTGGGTGAAGAAACCAGGTGGAGGAACCCCTGGCAGAGATGGAAAATGATGACTAGCCAGAGGCCTTAGAGTTTGAGTTTTAGCCAGGAGGCTTGGTTTTTGTGTTACAGCCGATTGGCTTGTGGTTTTGCTTTGTGGTTACACTGGAGGACCGGGTGAGGCTGTAGGGGTTGGAGGAGGCCTCAGGGGAGCTCCCTAGTAGCGTGGGAGTTCCTGGTGCCTGGGGAGGGCACAGCAATCTGGTGCCAGAAAAGGCACAGCAGATTGAGCGCCAGAGAGTGGCGCTGTGTTTTGGGGTGTCCCAACCCCGGCCCCAGTGGGGCAGTATCGAGAAGGGCCCAGAGGGGCGCAAGACCCAGAGAAGGGGCTGGGGCCAGGTATGGCTGCGGCCGCCTGAGCCCCAATTAGGAGAAGCCCCAGTGGGGCGTAAGACCCAGGAAAGGGGTCTGGGGGCCAGGTGAGGCTGAGGCTGCCTGAGCCCCAATTCTGGGAAGCCCGAGTCGGGCATACGATCCAAAAAGGGGTCCGGGGGCCAGGCATGGCTACGGCCACCTGAGCCCTGACTGCGGGAATCACGCAGAGACAGGCCCCAGTGCAGGTGAGAGTGCGGAGAGACAGGCCCCAATGGGGCACTGTCTGTGCGGGAGAAGCCCCAGAAGGGGGGGCAAGCTTATGGAGAAGCCCCAGAAGGGGGCGAGTACATTTTTTGAGAAGCCCCTGGAGAGGGCGAACGTGCGGGGAGACACCCGGTGAGGGCAAGTATCGGAGTTAGGAGCCCCGTGAGGGCAAGCATATGGGTAGAGGCCTCGGAGAGGGCTGCTAAGGAAAGACCATAGACACAACAATGTCCGGGACAACTAGGAGGCTTGGGGCATGGTATTAGGGGTGGTAGGAGCCATGCACAGCCCACAGGGCTGGGTGCACTAGATCGACCTACACGGGACAGAGGGCTGGGATAACTAAGAGCACCGTGCTCAAGAGGGTAAAGGGCAGCCTCCCTTTTATAATATTTACCAGCAAGACGTGGCGGGCGAGATAATGAGGGTGTGTGGACACCCACTTGACATGGTAGGGGGCACCAGGAGAGATCACGGCTGATCCTGGGTCCCCGCCCCGTGACATGGATTTTCCTATATAATATACAAGGGACCAAATTAAATCTTGGGATAACTTCACTAGAAATGAGTCGGGCCCTCTGTGACAAATAGAGGTTTCTCACTGTTGGCTTTATCCCTTTAATATTTCCTTTCTCTACAATAAAAACTGTAGAGTCACATTGCCCACATTACTGTGAGAAAAACATATCTACTGAAAAAGTGCAAAACAAAAAATTAAAAATGTCAATCATGAAACAAAGGAAGAATGCTGTTGTGGTTGTTTTTGCTATTGAAAATGTTTTCCCAAACCTTATATTTTACCAAAACAGTATTCTGATAATGTTTTGACCAGTAACAACAGTGAGCTTTGAACTGGTGGTAGGATATAGTTTAATATAAAATGATTCTTTTTTCATTCTCACAGCTATTGCAGGATTATCAGAATTGGAATCATATTTAAAGAGCTAGTGTTAAAGTACAGTGATACACTCTAGTTCCCTATTTCTTTCTAAATCAGTAAGGCTAGCTTTTTGCCTGGTATGCCATAAATTAAAGTTCTTTGCCCTCCCTATACCATTCTGATCCCCTTCTCCAGCCTGATTTGCTGCTCTTTTTTCTACTCCCCATCCCACTTGTGGCAGGCATCCCACACACAGGTTGGCCACCTCTGTTCTAAACCCTCCCTTACAAAAGCAGTGAGAAGGGCTGGGCATTTCCCACAAAGATTCCTAAGTGCTAAATAGTATAAGAAATCTTTGTATACAGCCTCGCTTGTACAAAAATTATTTTATTATAATTTAAAATAAAAATATTTTTACATTTCTCCTTTAAATACATATTATACGCAAGGCAAATATGGTCAAAGAGTTACTTTATTAAGCAGTTGTGTGGAGAGGTCTTCAGCTGTTGAAGATTCTTCTGTCAGGGTCAAATTCCTCTGTCACCACAATGGTCTGTTGATTGAAGGGTGAAAAACCTACTTTTTCTGAACGCAGTATTTCCAAAAGCAGGCTGAAATGGAATAGAACAGACAGTTAATGTGCACGGTAATCTGTTTTACCCTGTGTTCTCCTTTGAAGTCAATGTAAAGGGAAGAAAAAGAAAAGTGCGTAACTGCAAGTGTTAGACAAATGTACTGAATATTTATAATTCATTGGCACTTTGCAACTCTCTGGAGTTTAATTTAAAAGCCTCCACAGCCTATTATAGGATGCCAAGGACAAAATGACCAATTAGCAACTACCAAGGTTAAGCTGACCTTCAAGGTTGCAGCCAGCACAGACTAGTCACAGCAAGCCAAAGTTTATCAGCCTTGCCAGAGTAAGTTAACCAATGGCTAACTACACAGTTGCAGGCACGGAGCTGCAGACCATCTTGCATTCAGCTGGCACTGCCATCCCCGGGTTCTTAGGGCAATCAGTACCTTGGCCTCCTTCAACAGCTGGAGAAGCTTACCCCTCATTAGGGGATGGGCTAGCTGCAAGCCGAGCCTATGAGCGGCAGGACTAAAACAGGAAAAATTACTGTAATTCTCAGGACAGCATGCTGTTCCCCACACCAGCAACCTGCTGCATGTGGAATACAAGTGGGATTTTCTAAAGCACTCAAACTCTGGACAAACCTGGTTCCCATAGAGGCAACCAGCAAAAGCACAGCATCCAGGGGCTGTGCCTTGGACAGGAACAGGACCTGGGCCAGCTGCAGCAGCTGAGCTAGTAGTGGCTGCCACTTATGCACCCACTCAAAATGGACACCTGGGGCTGGGGTCCCTGTCGCCTATGGCTCTTTACACTCCTTTCAAAAGGGCTTGTATGACATATTTCAATAGGAGCATAGTTACATCAACACAAAGACCAGTCACAAAATCATAAATATTTCCAGAGAAAACAAAACAAAAGAAACAATTTTCATTGCATTTGAATATTCCCATGATTTGTCTACTGCTTTAAGTCATGTGATCCATTTTTAAAATGTAAAAGTATTTGGTTTTTCTGTTTTCTCCACCCTTCTTTGTTTTCCTCTTCCCCAATGAAGGGGGGAAGGGGACAAGTTGAGAGAAGGAATAAGAAAAGGAATCTGTGAAAAACATTAGTGTTGAGTGAAAAATGAAATCCTCCTTCTCCCTCTCCACCCCCCCCAAAAAAAATTCTGTTTGAAAGACCATTCTCTATCTATGAATGTTTTATCTATGAAAATGTTTCAGGCAGCTTTATTCAGTTCTGAATACTTTGGAAGATCCTATTCTTCCTGATTAGTGGGCTGCTCAGCAGAGCGCTCCCTAAAGGCTGGATTCATAGCCTCGATTGAGTTCCAAAGAATGAATGAGTCAGGGGGTCTGATCCAAAGCCTAGTGAGCTATATGGAGAGAGTGGAAAATTCTTGCAGAGGATTAGCCCATACCCAAGAGATAAGGTAAAGGGAGCCTGGCGTTGAGAAGGGCAACATGGAATGCCTAATACAGGATTCTACTGTCATACGCTGCATCATAGTATCATAGAAAAATAGGGATGAAAAGGACCTCAGGAGTTCAACCCTCTGCTCAAGATTAGTCCTGTCTAAACCATCCTAGATAAGTGCTTGGCTAACCTGCTCTTCAAAACTTAAAACTCTGAAGTTTGCACTACTTCCCCCAGTGTTTAACCACCCTTATACAGAAAAAGGTTTGCTGGGCATGTCTACAAGAGATGTTTACTGCAGGGTTGACTAATTAACTGTGCAGTAACAATCTCAGTGTCTACACGTGCCCCTATTTGGGCACACAAAACTACTAAAACTCCACTGCAGGTTAGGACTTGTAAATGCAAGTCATACCCTACTATGGAGTTTTTTCATATGCAGTACCACACGTGTCAACGTTGACCCAGCTGGCTGGAGCACAAGAGTGCTTCAGTGCAGGAGCTGCCTGCTAGCTAGCCCCACACTGAAGCATCCTCGTGCCCCAGCCAGCCGCTCCACAGCATGTTGAGCTGGAGGGGGAGTAGTCCTGGGCTGGCAGGCTGACCCCTGGGGCCCTTTGTCAGCCGGGGCTGCTTTGATCCTGCTCAATGTGCTGTGGTCCATGTGCGCATGTAAACCATGTGCCTGGGAGCTTCCTGGGAGCAATAAACTGTGGAGCGATAAGGTCTGCACTTTATTGCTGTGCACTAATGCCACCTGTAGACATGCCTGCTTTGTTGTAGTTTAAAACTGCTACTTATGCTGTCTCCCCTGACTTCAGAGAACAGTCTATCATCCTCCTTATAATCACCCTTCAGGTAGTTGAAGACTTTTATCACATATACCCTTAAACTTCTTTCTACTAGACTAAATAATCCCAATTCTTTCAACTTTTTCTTAAAAATCATATTTTCTAGACCTCTAATAATATTTATTGTGCTCTATCAGACCCTTTACCATTTATCTATGTCTATACTGAAGTGTGGTGTCTGAAACTGGACAGAGTACCCCAGGTGAGGCCTCTCCCATGGTGAATTCAGTAGAATCACTTCCTTTGATTTGCAGGTGACACTCCTGCTAATACATCCCATTATGCTACTGGATTTTTTCTGCAACATAAGCACACTGCTGACTCATATACAGCTTGCAGTCTACTATAATTTCCAAGTCCTTGTCTGCAGTACTTCACCCTGGCCTATTATATCAATGCTTTGCACAATAATGTTAACACAGTAGATAAAAATCTAATGCATGACTCTGTGCTTTAAGGCACCTTATTACCTGACAGGAAGAAACTGCCTGGAAGATGATGCAGGCTTGTCTGCACAGAAAATATTTTGTGACATATTAACTTAAAGGTACAAATTTAAAGTGCTATGGTTGTACCTGTGGAACTGCCCATGGGTGCATCTACATATGCAATTAATGTGCCTGAATAAACTCTGGTGCAGTTCAGGTGCCAGAGTTTATTGCTTCTGGGCATTGAGATTGAATGTGCACCCACGACTACAGCATGTAGAGCTGGGGCAGCACAGCCCCAGCTGGCAGGACGCTGGGGAGTTAGCCTGCCAGCCTGGGGCTACTCCGACCCAGCTCAACATGTTGTGAAGGGGCTGGCTGGGACATGAGGGGGCTATAGTGTGGGGCTAGCTGGTTGGCAGCTCCCGTACTGTAGCACTCTCATGCTTCAGCCAGCCTGGTCAGCGTCTACACATGCGTTGCAGTGGAGTAAACTATTCCACTACAGGATAGTACTTGTATTTAGCAGTACTATCCAGCAGCAGAGTTAATTACTTTACTCTGGCCTAACAATGTCACATGTGCAGACACTAACTTTTTACTGCAGAGCTAATTAATCTACTACACAGTAAATGTCTTGTGTAGACATGCCCCATATCAACACTCTTATTCTGTTTATAAGAATGCCTCTTTCTGGTTTAGCTTATGTCACTATCAAGTGATTTAAGCTAAACTGGAAAACAAAAATATTTGTACAGTATGCTGTAAGTAGAGTGGCTATATAGGGAGGTATAAAAGTATAATGATATTCATGAGGAGATCCACAAATTTGAAAAAGGGGTAGAAGGGGATATAGCACCCCCTTCAGTATCTCCACCTCCCCTAAGTGTCTTCTAACTGAGATACTTAATCTTTCTGAAATTATTTTTGAATACTCAAGATTTTGAGCTGAAAATGTGCAAGCTTGTTAAATGAGACATGAGGATTAAATGAAGTAGGCAGCCACATTTAGGAGGGCACAAATTCGGGTAAGTGAATTATCAGAAGATTTATACTCAACTGTAGTGTTAGTGACTTTGTTCATTAAACCAGAATCTGATTAATGTGTACAAGACAGTAAGGTACAATAAGTTTACAAATCTCTGATCATGTTACAGTGGTGTAAATCAGGAGTAACTGCATTATCTTAAATTAGTTCTGATTTAATGTGACCCAGACTAGAATCTGGCTGACTATACAAGTCCAGCCGACAACAGATATGTGACTAATTCTAATATTAGAACTACCAGGAGTAGAGCGCAACACAGACCAGAGTTTCCATTCCAAAGAAAAACCAAATATTTCAAAATTTGTTTCTGTCCTGAATGTTTGCTGTCCAGCCACTGAGCCTAAGCCTCAGAGAAAGAGGATAAGAAAACCAGAACTACAGCTCCCGGAAGGCAGCCCCCAGAGGTGCAGTTTAATGTTGAGCTGGCTTGCAATAAAATCTGCTTGTTCCATTCAACAAGCCAAAGTGTTTTATTTTGATTTTCCTGACATAAAAATTGAGGATATTTGGCAAAACAGAGATTATCCAAGGGAAGATGTAAAATGAGAAAATCAATTTGACAGAAAATTCTCAACTAGCTTTAAACAACAGGGTGCTGGGCATTGAGGCAACATATTTGTTTTCTACCAATATGTATTAAGGCTTCCAATCCAATAACCAAATCCATGAATCAGACATTTCTGCTCATGTATTTCAAAGGTAAGGACATAAGGACAGATCTAACTACAAGATCAAGCCCTTAGCTAAGAGGTGTAAAAGTGCAGCCGGGTGCCCAGGGTAATTGCAATACTTGGGGGCAGTGGTGATTCCAGTTGTCTCTATGATACCCATGCAATCTTGTGCCTGCGGAGGCAGAGGTTTTTTTCTGCCCTCCCCTGATCCCCCAAGTTGGAGCCTAGGGGAGTTGCACCAGTTACCCTGCCTTAGCTACACTACTGCCTTGGTTATTCACAATTACATTCCTTTTCAAACTGATTTTAATTCTACCATTGCATTTGCAGCAGAAGGTAGAAAAAACTGGACATTTTCCCCTCAAAAATGTCAGTGAAATCTTGAGGCCTAATTTTCAAATTACCCTCAATCCATGCTCTAAAATAGTGAGTGCCATTTGCATGTTCAAAACGGTGGAGCTGTATAAGCAAACTGAGAAATCTGACTAACTGTTGGGAACAGGAAAATGCTGTTTGGTTGCCTAAATGCAAGTATTGTTCTGTGCAACAGTTCATTACTAATTCAGAAATTGCCTTTGAAAACACAGCCCAGCATGTGACCAGCCACATCAGTCCTTCTTCACACAGGGCACTTCTTCAGACTTGACCTCTGTCACAGTTATTCCTTTTAACAATGCCCCACCCCAATCCAATGCAAGGCTTTCACAAACCCTAGGAATAAGGAGAAGACTTGCCAGTCGTCAAAAGGATGTGTAATATATATGGGAGTATTATGGATTGATAACCTATGGTGACCTATTTTATAAGAAGTGTCTGTTTGGGTAGCAGAGTGCTTTCTAATAACTGTCTCACAGCTTTCATTTAAAGATCATCAAGAGACAATGCCAGAATCATTTACATTAATTGCTCTAACTTGTTCTCTTGGGCAGCACAAATACCACTTTGACTGGGGTGGGGTGCAGTCATGGTTCTCAGAGACTTGGTAAAGAACCCTGGAGGGCAAAGGGAAGGGAATGTGGTGTCAAAAGAGAGAGAACCAAACATGAGGTTCATGTCATGGCAGAACGCAGTGCATTGCATAGCTCCCCACGGTAGCTTGTCCAGCAGAAGCAGTATAGCCATGTTTGTGAGGTTCTTTACCCTGGCTAATTATAGCCTGCTTCTCAGAGAGGCTAGTAACTTCAGGAGTGACCACTCATACTGACACTGCTATACTGCCACCACTAGCTACCTCGGTCAGAGTACTAGGGCAGGGGTGCTCAACCCCCGGTCCATGGGCCAGATCCAACATCCAGTGCTGTGTTATCTTGCAGGGATCCTGGTTTCCTCCGAGTTTAAAAAATCCCCAATTTTTGGTTCAAAAAAGGAACTCCAAATCCACATTTTTCCATGATTGACATGAAACACCATTAGTGGTATTTCACTTGAATCATGCAAAAATGTGGATCTGGGGTTACTTTTTTTTAGCTGACTACTGGGGATTTTTTTGAATCGGAGAGAACCAGGATCCCTGAGCAGGGCCCCCCATGAGTCCATGAGGAGCCCTGCAGGCCATGGCCCTGAGTGCTAGGTCAGTCACACAGGGTGGTGTGGGACCTGATCCTGGAACACGGATGCAGTGCAAGGCTGCCAGAGCCCAATTCCTGCATGAGAGGCTGGACAGAGATGGCACAGGGCTCCCAGGGCTGACCCCTGCAAACAGGCCTGGGTGGGAGCTGCACCAGTCCTGCTTTACTTGGCCTTGGAGAGGCTGCAGCTGGAGTACTGCATCCAATTCTGGGCTCCACACTTTTTAAAAAGGACGTGGAGAAGCTTGAGAGAGTCCAGAGGAGAGCCATGTACATGATCAGAGGGCAAGAGAATAGGCCTTATGAATAGCGGCTGAGAGGCATGGGACTCTTCAGCCTGGAGAAGTGAAGGCTCGGGGTGACTTGGTGGCAGCCTATAAACATATAAGGGGTGTACATCAGGAACTGGGACAATGTCTGTTCAGCAGGGTTCCCCAAGGGAAGACAAGATCTAACAGTCATAAACTGCTGGAAGACCATTTTAGACTGGACACAAGGAAAAACTTCTTTTACTGTCTGAGTCTCTAGAGTCTGAAATAGACTCCTCCAGAAGAGGTGCAAGCACCTACACTGGATACCTTTAAGAAACGCTTGGATTTGACCCCAGCTGACTTCCTTTCCCTTGGGCAGGGTGCTGGACCTGATGATCTCGTGAGGTCCCTTCTAGCCTTAATGTCTATGAAATCTATGAACCATGATTGCACATTTTGGGGCTTTTTAAAGTTGTTTATTTTGTTGTTTTACTTTTAAAAGATTATCATATATTAAGGATATAAATCACTGTGTTGGGGTGTTGTGATGAGGGCTGGGCCTTCTTGGTTAAAGAGCCTTTACAATTCATGTGTTCCAATTATTAGCCTTTTATAGGTGGAGAGTTGGGGCATAGAGAGAATGAACCTACTGGCCACTGTTGTTAAGGCTTGCCAGTTTCCAAAGCTAGTGCATTACAAGGGAGCAAAGAGGCTAGCATTGCATCTACCTGTCTGTCACAGACCTCCTTAAATGACTAGACACCCATGTACAGGTGGATCAGCTAGAGACAACCCTCAGCCTGTGTTCAGAGTGTGCTTGAACTCATGCCTCCAGATCCATAGTGAGATGTCTTAATTGGTCTGCCACCGTGTCCCTAGGCAGAATGAGGACTGGCCCCAAATTATAGGAGAAACCTGTGGTGATACAGGCCATGTCTCTTGCATTTGGAGTTAGTGCACTACCAGTTGGATATCCTTCTTGAGAGAATATCTATGACGTGCATGTGGCTGGATTAGCTTTTTCACTTCAGGGTTACAAGTTCAAGTAAAGTTCAAGTCAGTAGAAAGTCACATTTACTAGCTAATGATTCTTCAGTGGCTTTTATAGAAAATGAATTTGGTGGTTTCAGCCCAGTTTCTGTGGCACCACTGGCCACATCACAGGAAAGTCTACCAGAAATGCTATTTGGCATAGATGGCAGAGAGCCCAAAGCCATAGACACTGAGCTTCTCTTTCACTTGTGGACCCCAGAATGGAAGTACATTACAGAGATGCACAGAACAGGGTGGTTATGACCTAGGCTGTACTTTTCTGTGGCTAGAGGGCATCTATCTCCTTTTACAAACACTGAAAGACATTTGCAGTGCTGTCTGCTATCAAAGCGACCTAGTAATGAGGCAGGCACTACACTGGAAAGAGTCTTACCTCTCTTCTTGGATTTCTTGGGTACCTGCGGTGCTGATTTCCTGAAGTTCTTTCCGTGTAAAGGATTTATTTCCAGGAGATCCTCACTCAGCTCAGCAGTGCCTTCTTGATGGAAAGGGGGATTAGACTGGCCTCCATTCAAACCCTCCTGATCAAAGCAAAACACATGAAGGATAATTTGCATAAATGTATTTCCTAGAAGTTAGGATCACTAGCCAGCTAGAGGGCCAGTGAAAAAAGTAGTCCACCGTGAGTTAACTTAGTTGTGTGATGAGGAAGAGAATTTTCAAATACTCGATGATGACTAGATCGAGAAATAAAAATCAAAACATACAGTTGCTGTTCTTACCGTTTTGACTGTCTTCCCAAACATCTTGGCATAAGCTGAAATGCAAAGAGAGAAAACATTTAGCAGCATTTCTTTTGGAAGATGGCATTCATGTTTGCTTTACCTCTTGCAGGTTTCAATGCAGCCTAGCATTTGACTAAACTCCTAGGAGATTTCCTTTTCAGGGGGCAAGAGGATGTAAATGGGCAAACTGCACTAGGAAAACTCAGTCCTGAAAGTACTTACTCAATTGAGGCGTTATTGGGTGCATTTGCTTAAATAAGGAACTGCAGAGTCTAGCCCCAGCAACACAAAGGTCTTGATCAAGTGTTTTGACTTGAAGTGTATGGCAAATATGATTTGAAAATGAAAGTGGAGGGTCAGAGAAGTGCCCAAGGTGACAAAAGGGTCTGAGTGTCAAAGGTGAGACTAGAATTCAGGAGTCCCTGGCTCCCAGTCCAGTGTTTACACTGGTAGACTACACTTTCCCATTGTTTAAATATATTTTAGGCATAGCTGTAAGTCTCAAGCTGGCAGTGTCAGAGCTGTTTCAGGCACTGAGATGGGAAAATGGTATAGACACCAGAATTTGTATTGGGAATGTCATTTGGCCTGAGCCCTTTGAGTTGGTTTCAGAAGTAATAGGGCGCGGAGAAGCAGTGTTTCAAACATGTCAAGAATCTTCCCCTTCCCTTTGAGTTTCTGCCTGGGGCTTTTCTCAGTATTATATTTCTGGTTTTACAGACTGTTTGAAAAAAGGACATTGGGCACTTATACACGTCCAGGATGTCTGCTCTGAAGCATGCTACTTAGTATGTGTTGGAGCAGGCTCAGTTTTAATCGATTTAATTAACACACTCCAGCAGCCTCTGTGTCACATCCATTCAGCATCCCTGCACTTCAGATGGCAGTGGGGGTGCTTGAACTAAAGCTCGCTGAGTCTAAAAACCTTGAACTGCTTTGCTAGACCTTGTATACTTAACTAAAAGAACGTTTTACCTCAAAGAGCTTACAATTAAAGAACAAGTACCCAAACTTACCAAACCAAAACCCAACTAGTTCAATGGTTTCCTTGTTACTGCAGTTAAATGGTAGCCAATGCAATACCTCTTATCCTCCTTTACAGGTAGAGGGACTATTTGTATTAGGTGCTGTACAAGTGTATAACAAAGATGCTGTATGCAGATCTTACCAGCTGTGCAGAAAATACAGAATGTCTTCCTCTGTGGCCTGGGGCATGATCCACTTCCTAGGACCATCTGGGCTTACATCATCTAGCAAATTCCCTGCTGCTGCATCGGCAGCAGCCTCAGTCCCCCCTGCCCTCATCTTGTGGCATATCATAGTTACTGAAGCATTGAGTTTTTTTTGTGTTACAGATTATAATGTCATTTTAAGTTATTAGAGGGGGTTGTGTGGCTGAGGGGGGGTGTAGGTGGGAACTGCAGAGCGAACATTTATGTGGGCCCCTTTGGATTTAATGTCTATGATATGTCTGCTTAAAAAGGCCTGGGATTAGAGGCCAGGACCCAGGTGGTCCCTTTCAAGCATGTCTTCCTAAGAGATGGACACAACAAACAGACAGGGGAGCACAAAAAAACCAAGCAGACACTGCTGGCATGATAAGCAATGGTCGGCACACAACCAAAAGCATTGCTATCTTATAGTTTCATAGTTTCTAGGGTTGGAAGGGACCTGAGCAGATCATCCAGTCCGACCCCCTGCCATCTGCTCTTTTTAGCCATAAAGGGTGTCTATACATGTGCTCCTGGGTGGAGGGGGGTGCTTTAAGTAGAGCGGCTCATTGAATTAGCTTTAGTTCAATCACCCTTGCTGCCATTTTAAAGTGTGGGATGCTGACTACATGTGACGCTGAGGGTGCTTTAATTAGAGGATCTTGGGGATCTTTGGCTGGGCCTCTGAGAAACTGTTATTAATTATTATGAACAAAACATTTAAAAATTCCTCCACATAGCCACAGCCAGAAGAGGTGGTATGAAAACCATGCTTCCCTAGGAAAGCCCCAGGAGCTTTGTTTGGTAGCCACATTCTCCCCAGGTGGTGGTGGGGTAAGCACAGGCAGGTAGGACTGCAAGTGCCTATCACAGTGCCTTGTGTACCCTAAATTGCCATTTCAAACCCTCGCACGCAACTACAAAGCACAAACCAGAAATACCAAGTACATCCTACAGTGTGACCTAGGTAAAAACAAGAAAGATGAGGATTCTGCATTGAAAAAACAGGGAAGTAACTGATTAATATGTACTCAGACGATCTCCAAAGGAGGACCATGTTCCACATTACAGAGAAAGGCAAAGCCCCCAACAGTCTTTGCCAAGGGGAAAATTTCCTTCCTGATTCCAGATCTCATGATCAGTTTGGCTCTGAAGAGAAGAGCAAGCTCATTAAGCCAAGAATCTATCAATTTTTTTAATACTATCAGAAACATCAGCATACCTCCCTCAAAAGCCTGCATCCTTAGCTATGGCCAGTGTCCCACTGCTTCAGGGGAAGGTAACTTTCCTCCACCCTCCACCTGAAGCCAGTAGTATTTATGAGGGGAAAAATAAATTCTCCTTGTCCCAACCAAAAAAATCAGATTCTGAGTCTTCTTTGCTTTTTACAAGTGGCCAGAAGGCACCTGGGAACCTCCCTAACATAAGGGAACTATCAACTGATATAGAGCTGCCTTAGTCAGCCCATGTACCATTCTCCACCCTTTGCTTTGCCATAGAGGACATAGTCGCAATAGGGCATGGTAGGCAGGGAAGGCCTGTGGCCCACTGCACAGTCTCAAAACACCTGTAGTTAACTGGTAAAGCTCAGAGGAGCCCCTCAACTAGCCTGAACTGTAACAGTGACCATAGCTGTACAGATGCATCCTGGAAATTAGAGGCCCAGAATTACCTCTGACAAAATCTGATGCATTGAGAATCTCAGACAAATCAATGCACACTTACAGAACTATGACATATGACATACAAACAGAAATAATTATGGAAAGATATTTTTCCCCATAAGCCTGCATGACGACATTCCTAGATTCAGATAGAAACATCTCCTCGTGATAAATAAATCTAGCAAGAAACAAGCCATGCCAACTTATATCTGCATTATTCTTGTATCTGCAGTATATTATACTTCAGTTGACTGGAGTGTCTCCTAAACACCTGAAGACATGTTACAAGACTTAGGTCTGGCTGAGGCCTCTATGCTAATGATTCTCTGGTGCTCTGACCTCTCAGAGGTTCAAGCTAACAAGGCTGCAAATGTCTCTTTTATTTGGTTTGGCATTTAGCTGGAGGGGTCGGTTGCCTAGACCTTATACCATTTATGGATAAATAGCAGTTATTGCTGCTTCCCATGCCAGTCCCTTCATGTAATGATTTAGAATAGTGCTTAGTGTACAACAGGTTCACATTCTTCCTTTAAATGCATCCAGTATCTCAGCAATAGGGTTAACTGCAACCCTTCAGATAAATCCTGATGGCTGGTTTCATTTGCACACTTTCAGTTCCTGATTAATTTAGTTAAAGTTGGCTCCCTGTTATTATGTATCTCGTGTTTCGTGAAGAAGTTTTATTGCAGGACCATGAACAAATATTTGACCTAAACCCTATATATTTGTGATTTAAATGGAACTTGTGTTTTACCTCTAGACCTGACACTTTGCTCTATGTGACACTTTAGGAGGCAGTCATAAAAAGTTAATCTTTTTAAACCAATTTTAAGAAGGAAAATAGCCTGGCTCTTACTAACACTAAAGCCACTTTATGTCTCACTGGCAGCATAAAGTGAGCATAAACATTATTTGCTGTCATTTGAAGGTCTCGTCATATGACTTGAGTGGTTTAAAATGGACATGGGTATATGAGAATCAGGCCCTATAATTATAAATTCTTGAAACTTGACAGTTATATGTAAGTATATACTTAAGGGCAGGATTTGAAAAATCATCTCTGGGGGGAAAATGTCAATGGTCATATGAAAAGTAATAACTCTTCACTTTTGTTTTAAAGGACCTTTAAGTATGTGTGTGCGTGTGTGTGTGTGTGTGTGTGTGTGTGTGTGTGTGTGTGTGTGTGTGTGTGTTTAAAATTTCACCCTCAATAAATTATTATCTCTGAATGTGTCTAAGCTTGATCAGGCTTTTCAGATAGTCTCTCAATCTTATTCAACACTTGAGCCATATTGGGCATGTCTACATGTGAAGATTTACTGTGCAGTAACTGAAATTACTGTGCAGTAGAAGCGCGCGCTTACATGTGCACACCTGTACTGTGCAGTAAACATGGTGACTTATACTGACTTGAGTGTAAATTTGATACCTGCATCATGCAGATAACAAATGTATGCCTGATTAGTTACTGAGCAGTAATGCACAGTAGCCTTGCAGCACAGTAACACTGTGTGTGTGGACTGACTTGGGACTAACTTTAGTCCCAAGTCAATCCACGCACAGCGTTAATGTGCTTTAATGCCTACACATGTAGACACCAGCCTATTCCCACTTACTGCTCAGTAAATTTAAGCTGGTGTAAATGCACGTGTAGACATGCCCACTGAATATTTGAATAATATTTAATACTTGAATTATAGCCTAAACTAAATGGAAAAAAATATGTGGTACTAAGAATAACAAATATTGTGCTCATGAAAAGCTAGAATTCTTTTCCTTTTGAACTGCTGGCAAGGGCATAGTGTTTGTGGTATTTTTTTTCTACTTGCATATCCCACCATTTTAGCATAACATCCCACAGCAAACCAATCTCAGCAAGGTTTTAAAGACTTTGCATTCTTGTAGGCTCTTCCATCACAAAACTCCAAAGTCTTTATCAGCATAGCCCTTTTTCAACTAGGTAACTATCATTGTCCCCATTTTAAAGATGGAGAAGCAGAGTCACAAAAAAATTATGTGTAAATAATATAACATATTACACTCACAATACTAAAGCTTCCCTCATCCTTTCCCTTTCACTTCTACTTCCTAAAAAATACAGATAAACAATTCTCCCCAGAACTAACAAAACAATTAACCCAGCAACTCAAATCACTCTACCCTATGCAGAACTTTTATCCTTTAAAGAAGAAGACACCCAAGGATCCATGAAGTCAGTACCAGTATCAATTTTACATGGAAAGTGTGCAAATATTGAGGTGAGAGGTGACAGCTTTCAACCTTAAAACAGATAATTCACCTGACCTCCAGCCATGAGCCTTAGCCACTATGCCAACTACTTTTTTCAACAGGATTATTATCTAAGGGTAGACATAAAATAAATCAGTTATTTGATGCACTCCTTGTACCCAGGAGATCCAGGTTGCAAGGATATGAGAGCTGGCAAAAAAAAAGGTGATTTGCAAGGCTCTACAAAACCTAAACCAGCTCCAGTTTTGTTCTTTTCTAGATGGTAATTCTAGTTTTGAAATATATTGTGCTGTAACTATATTGAAAAGGATGTAATAGGCTGCTATCCATTATTTATCTATTTATTCTGCAGGCAGGAAACTTTCATTTTGTAAAGTGTTTCCCATATTTTATACTATTCCCAGTATTCTTATTAAATTAATGGCTTATTTTTACACTCACTGCCTTTCAAGTGCAGCATAGGAGATATAAGAAGCAGATAATGTAATGAAAATGCCTCTGGGAGCTGTATTTGTCAACTGGCCATATCCAGAAGGGTCCAAAATGGTTCAATGGTTATATATAAATATATTTCAAATACCTACATGAAAGCAAATTGAACACCTGTATACTGAGAGTAGAGAAGAGGGAGAATTGTCACAAGAAAAAAGCATCTCAGTTCAAGGAGTTGTAATTTTGTATCTACCATTTAATTGCTAGTAAGCAATTCAGAAAACTTTTGTACCTAACATCTCTTTTTCAAGCACACTGTAATTATGTCCCACACTCAGGAAAAGCCACTTATAACCTATCTAAGAAAAACTTTCTGAACCAAATTATATATTCACTATTACCTTTGAGTCCAGTGATTTTGGGGTTTAATCTTGGATTGGCACTTTTCTGTGCCTCGTCAAATGCTGATAACAATGTCAGGATCTTCCCTGTCTGATCAGCAGCAGGGCTGTCCAAAGCTGTCCTCCTTTTGTCTTGTTTCAGGAAAAAAAAGAAGAATTTTAAGGAAAAAAGAGGTTATTGGCTCTTTTAATGACTTGTGTGAAAGAGCAAGCTTTTCAAACATACATAAAAACAGGCCAATATCTATTTTTTTGGCTGAGAGTGGTTCATATACAGATGCTTTATCCTGTATTAGTTAATCTTGCCTCACATTCCTATCATTGTAGGCCAAGAAAAGCATTGCATTTACTAAAACTACAACTTTGAAATAGAGGTTTAGGACAACTTGCTCTTCATGAATCAATTCAGTGATACAATGGGACAGAATGCATGCAGCTGTGATTATATACATAATGCGTTAAAAGGAACATGGTGCATTTGATGGACCGCATATTCACCGGATGTATATTGGCTAACTCTATTATCATTAGTGGAGCTATTGCAGTTCATACCATCTGAAGATTTAACCTGTTACCTTACCTTTCATTACAGTCAGAGTACAACAAATGATCTGATCATTCTGTAAATTAAATCACTGCAATTTTATTTTGTTCAATTATATCAAAACTTCACATAGTGATACTATTTCACGGAGGCATTGTGTGATCTAACATTGTAGTACTGCACTGAGACACAACTTACCTTCCAGAAGCTGCAGTTTTTCAGGCACTACTGGAGAAGCAGATGCCTGAAAAGCAGCAGAAACAGCAGCAGCAGCGATAAGAATACTGGTGAATACGCTAGTTTCCATTGTAGCTAACTGGGATCTTTTGGATTTCTAAATCTGACTGCGAGCGCTTTACTACAAAGCTTGTCAAGACTCCTTCCTCCACGTTCTCTCTCTGGTTGATTGAGGCATCCCAGCTCCCCACTTTTAAACCCCTGTGTCTCCTCATTATCTAGAGGACAAATTCACAATCAAATTCCGCTTTACTAACATGCATTTTGACATTTGGCGATGTGTCTCTTTCTATTTTCTGTGGTTTGCTTTGTGCCATTCTGGTAATAGAACCTCCAACGTCAGAACTCTATTCTTTTCCTAAGCAAACACATTAACTTTGTGTTATCACTGCTTGAACAGGAGAATCTCCCAAACGTGTCTGCAAACTTTGGAATGGAGTAAAGGCTTCAGCTAATCGGCAGCACAGGAAATATCCCTAGGTTTTACTTGTTGCTTTTTTGCAACTTAACAAGGACGCTAATTAAAAAGCAAAGATTTCAAACATCCCAGTGACGCCAGCAGTCGACATAGCAAACATCCAAGGAACAGAATAAATAGCTAAGCCACAAAAGTAAGCCACGCACTACTGTGGATGAAATAAAAGTATGAGGTAGAGACAAAGTCATCCCTGAAGTGGCAGTGAATCTCCAAGCAGTTGGCGTGTTAATATTCTACCTGCCAAGCCAAAAACTTGGCTCAACTTGAGTGTTCTGATAGTTGAGAGATTTCCACGGACAAGTCTCGTATGTTCAGTCATAGCAGTGCCAGAAACAAATTTTGTTGATGCAGAAAGAGGATTTCCTCCTACCAGCTCAATGACCTTCACACTGAATTCTGTACAGTGAATAAAAAGAACTTCATATGCATATTTATTTGCTTTCTGATGGCACCTCCTACCTTCCATCTTATCAGAGCAGCTCACATACCTTTTTGCATTTACTCTCCCACACTCTCTGAGGTAGGGAAGCAAGGCTTACTCCCATTATACAGATAGGAAAATTGAGGCATGGAAGTTAAATAACCCCACAGATACACAGAGGCATGCCCCCATGAGTATGCATATGCAGGTGTGTACATTTCCTACAGGACAAATAGCAGCAGCACATATACAAGGGCATATCAATATGCACGAGCATATCCAGTGGCATAGCAGCAGTGCATGTGCAAGGGTATATCCAGGGACACATATTTATGCTGTTCCTATCTGTCCCTGGATATGCCCTAGCTAGTACCTGTGCTCCAGCGTGCAGCAAAGGGACCTGGGTGGGATAGGGGAGGCTGGGGCCAGTATCTGTGCTAGCCCCAGCAGCTTTACATGGGGTCCTGGGGGCCCCCCAAAAAAGCAGCAGTGCAGAACCAGCCATTTGGAGCCTGGCCAGCAGCCAGAGAATGGCTCTGGCTGCCCATGTTCCAGTTTCTGGCAGTGCATGCTGCTGCCACATGCACCACGCTGCCTATTTTAGGGGCAGGTATTTTTTTGACCCCGGGATCTCTGGCAAATTGCTCTCAGCACCTACACATGCACTACTACACAGTAGCTGCTGTTAATCTAGTACCTGTATTTCTTGGTTCTAGCAGATGTCATGTTAACCTAATTTACTGCATAGTAAATCCTGTGCACATGTAGATGGTGAAGATTTACTGTGCATTAGATTAGTCTAATGTGTAGTAAAGCATCTCATGGAAATGCACCCACAGTCTGCCCTGTTCTTTTGATTCAAGTAGAGCCTAGAATGCAAAAGGCTGGCAGATTGCTGTGGTAGCTTGTATGTGGAAAGAATTCGGAGGTGCTTTTGAAGTGCCTCAGCCTTTTATTTTTTATTTTTACCTTTTACTTACTTGAACACATAAAAAGATCATTGCTTTAATATAGAGGACTTAATGGTGAGGAATAGGGCCTGGGTATTTGAGACTGCTGGTGTTTCAGCACATGAACAGCAACATTGTTGGAACTTTCTAAGGAAAATGCTATCTCGGGTGTATTGTTCTGTGACTCCTACTAACAGTAATCTCAGTCAGGACCTAGCTGTTACATCACTTAGTTATTTGACCTGGCAGTACTTCATGTACAAGTCCTCTGGTGAGGGAATGGAATCTGCTCACCTCCTTTTAGATGGGCTGTCTTTGCCAGGACTAATGAGTAAAACAGCAGCAGCAGCAGGCATGCATTTTGGTCCCAGGTGGAACACACTAGTCAATATACTCAGGGAATTGACTTGTGCGCTATGAACAAACTATTTTTATTCTCTCACTTTTCAGGAGAGAACATTAAACTAATTCTCTTGGTGTCCTTAGTGGCTCATGTAAATGCTTCTTTATGATCAGTCAAAAGGTGCGTGAGTCAAAGAACCAAGTCTGCAGCACAACTTTATCATGTAATCTGGTGAAGCATGAAATTATATGATATCGAGAGAAGTAGTTAGCTATGTCAGTCTGTTATGTTGTATGTGGTAATCTCACACAGGACTGTCAACTCCATTTCAAGTGTCTATTAAAAAAAGGGAGGGGGTGAAAGGAGACCACTGGGGGTCTGAAAATATATCCCTCTCCTTGCCACAGACTTTCCGTATGACTTTGGACATGACCCCTCCTTTTTCTACACTTCAGTTTCTCTTTTGTAAATTGGGCATAATTTGACTCTTCTACCCCACAGGAGTGTTGTGAGGAAAACTAGGTGAAAGATCATATAATGACCAAGAACAACAGTAATGAGGAAGACAGAAAGACCTAAGGAAGTGATTCTCAACCAGGGCACTGTGGCTCCCTGGGGTGCCTTGTAACCTTTTTTTGAATGACACAGGGTGCCCCTAGGGTTAGTGCCTGTAGGTGTGCAAACATGATTCACACAACAAATTCAGAGCTTTAAAACAGGAATTCACAGGGTCAAAGCCATTGACCTGTTGTGGGCTTATGGAGCTCTTTGCATGGTGGCTGCAGCTTTCAGCCCCAGAGCCCTGCCGCTAGCCTGACTGGTTCTGGGGCCCATCACAGCCTGCCATGTGTCATGGTGAAAAAGAAATTTTCTTCATGACCACTGGGGACCCACCTCCCAGCTCACATCCATCTCTAAATCCACACCGAGCCTTCAACTCATCACCTTTTAGCTAGGAGCTCAGCCTGCAAACACCTAAGCCAGAAAACAGAGCCAGCACCTGACCCTTCCCCACCTCCCTGACTGACCCACCACCATACTCACATACATAAGTAAGCACCCCTCACAAGAAAGCAAGCAAGCAAAGCCTTGAGGGATGGTCCTGTGCACTGCCAGAAGAGACCACAGTAGAAGAATTGCTGTTTTTTTGTAGACAAAAAATGAGTGAAAACTAAGATGCTGCATTGTCTGAAGGGTTTTTTGGGTCTAAAAAAAAGTTGAGAAATGTTGACCTAAGGTTTTGAACAAATGTACACCTTAGTGGAGAAGGAGCTTCAGTGGGTTAAACTGAGTCAAACTTTGACCCTTGGACTAATTACAGACAGTCAAAAAGCCTGAGGCTGAATCAATTCAGTCTTTGCAAATTAGTCGAAACTGCAGAGATTAAATTGATAAGCAAGTGAACATATATTCACTTTTGATTCCAGAAATTCATCGATTGTAAGGGGCCGGAAGGGACCTTGGAAGGTCTAGCTCCCTGCCCCAAGCAGGAAAGATAACTGGGGGTCAAGTGACCCCAGCAAGGTGACTGTCTAGTCTCCTGTTGAAGATTTCCAGGGTAGGTGATCTCACCACCTCTGGAGGGAGCTTATTCCACAGTCCAGACACTCTGACTGTGAAGAAGTTTTTCATAATGTTAAGCCTGAATTGATCTTCCAGGAGTTTGTGGCCATTACTCCTAGTTTTCCTCTCAGATGCCCTGTTGAACAGTTGCTCACCGTGCCCTTGATGTACTCCCCTAGTGTAGCAGTAAGCTGCTACCAGGTCCCCTCTCAGCTGCCTTTTCTTCAGGCTGAAGAGTCCCAGATCCCTCAGCCTTTTCTCAAAAGGCAAGCTATACGAGACTCTAATCATGTGGGTGGCTCTTCTTTGGACTCTCTCAAGCTTGTCCATGTTCTTGTCAAAGTGTGGTGCCCAGAACCGGACACAGTACTCCAGCTGCAGTTTCACCAGTGTTGAGTAGAGTGGAAGAATCACCTCCCTGGTTTTTCTGGAGGTACATTGGTTGATGCACACCAGAGTCTAATTTGCTCTACTGGCTACAGCATCACACTGCCGGGTCATATTCATACTGTGATCTATTATTACCCCCAGGTCCCTTTCATTCGTCGTCCTAGTCAGTTTTGTGCCACCAAGCCTGTAGGTGTGTTGGGGGTTGC